CTTTGAACATGTCTACTAACTCAATAGTAAAAATTACTTACCGAAAAGTCACTGAATCATGGCTGAATGAGTTGCCCCTGGATGTGGATGGCCTTCCAGCTTCGCGTAATAATTCGTCGAGTATAAACGATGCTTGTGTTGGATGCAACGTGCCGGTTGATGTTGCATCAGCGAAGTAGGAGAATACACGAAACATTCGCTGATACAGTACATCACTTAGAGGATCGGCCATCCTGTAAACAATCAATAAGCATGTGAACAATAGGATTTGGGCGGAGTCTACCCATCGAAGGAGAAAAAGCGCGAGAAATCGAAAGATGACTCATTCATGATCATCGAACATTTGTAGAGAGCGTCTATGATATATGCATTGGCCAGCGTACCCTTCCTCGCAATCGCAATAATTTGTGAGATGTTCTAGAGGATTCTGAGGCATTGTGTGAGTGTTATGTAGATCTCCTCTGAAGAGAACAATTCGGAATGCGGTTTGGCTGAACAAAAGCCCATTTATCAGAGGAAAAAATGAGCGCCACCACGCTGTACATTCGTTGTCGACGGGCCGACCGAATGCAAGCCAACAATTTTATGTTAATGAGGTGAAATGTACGCTCAGTACAAATTCAGTGTAAAAGGGCATGTTGGATGTAATTTCAGCACAATACATGCACGAGAGTAGCCAAAAATGTATTTCACCGCATCGTCCATAGTCTTATGAGTCGAGAACTGCTTTTTCTTCGGAAAAAAGTAAGCTGCTAGAAGCACAAAACGTTTTTGTGTTAAAAATAGCTGTCTAGAACTGGAAACGAAGCTAGAATTGATAGATAGCCGAGCACGCACTTTTGAGCCATATGAATTTTCACTCTTTCTTCCGTCTCCTTCTTTTCCCTCCCTGCCCAAATCCAGCCCTCTGTAAAGGTCTCAAAAGTTCTTAAAAATTTTAAAATACTGATAAAACACATGAGTCATTGTTTATTTTAGCACTACTACGTAAACTCCAGAAGAAAAGGATTTTCTGTAGGATATTGTCACTGCGATTAAGCAGAACCCCCCGCAGTCATTTTTTACGGCTTGCACTCCTCCTCTCCTTCTCCCTTGTCCCCCCTCCCTCC